AGCAAAAGGTGTACGAAACTGAACCTGCTTCAATATTGGATATACGGCAGAGAATAATAAATATTTGTAGAGATATTGACGTTACCGTGTTCGAAAATGTTCGGCGTGAAATATCGGATAGGCTGTTCATATACCAAGAAGTTCAAGGCAACCATTTCGAGCATCTTCTGAACTGACCTCAAGCTTATTACCTAAAATTATGTAGTTAAATGTCAATGTATTCAGTCAATTATTAAAAGTTCCGCCATTTTGTAGTAGGTGAAAATATCGACTTCATATTCTAGGGTTGTGAAGCATTTGTCAGGAGCTTCAAAATGATGTGTCACGAGACCCCCTCTTTCAATTAAATTTTTTTTCGAAATGGCGCCCAGTCGCCATCTTGAAAGTTCAATCTGTCAATTTCATTATCCCAAATTTCAATTTTTTTAGTTGACCCGTTCGAAAAATGAAAGGTGGGGGACAAAGAAATGCACTGTATAGGGGGTGTCCATAAATTACGTGAGGTGTTTAAGGGGGGGAGTCGAGTCAAATCTCATCTAATCTTACGTTGGAGAGAGGGGGGGGGTCCCGGCGAATTTCACGCAATTTTTTTTCTCCGTGGACTGAATTAGAGTAGATATTTTTTTTTATTCACAGTAGTTACGATTTAAGTATTCTATTCTTAAATTTTCATTACACTTATAATTAAACTCTCAGCAATATTGATTACCAGTCTTAACTAGTTGTAAATAAAAGCACGAAGCAATTTTTTTTTTTTACAATAACCATCCAACATGTTTACGTAAGAAACCCACATTTTGAAAAATCTCACGTGAGATTGGGGAGGGGGTTGAGAAAAATCTCACGACATCTCACCAGGGGGGGAGAGAGGGGCAGAAAATTAAAAAAACACCTCACGTAATTTATGGACGCCCCCATATGAATAGCTAAGATTTAATTTTGTTTTCATGATTTTTAACGAAATATTCACACACGAGCACTGCGTGCATAACATTTAGGTTAAGTTGTTAAACAGTGCAGGCTGAACTCCAGTCTTTCATCATCTATTGCTTTTTTTTACATAATTTTGTCTTTGTTCTTGTACGTGTATTATCGAATAATACAGTCCACTTATCGTTTTCATTACGAGAGACGTCTTAGAGATAACTACGTTTCATGTATCAAATTTTATGAAAACATGGCTTCTCACAATTATTTATGAATAGACAGTTTCCACAACCAAAACCCTCAATGATATTTCACAAGCACTCAGTAGAACCCTTGCTCAAAAATTTATTTCTCGACATCGTCGCAATATTTTCCATTGTTTCACATGATCCACTAGACCCTACCTACATGTTAGTATAAAACGTGTATGTGATATATCTCACAGATACCGCCAATCGAGACCTGATGAGTCTTACCATATTGCTTGGTCCTGACCGGTATGGGGGGCGTCGTGGCTCCTTCGCCTCTCTGCGACCTGGCGGCCAACCAGACGTAGTAAAGAGTGTTCGGGTAGAGACCCGTCAAGGTGTAGCTTTCAGATATTGGGATACGCCTGTGGTGCTTCTCCTTGGCGTAGGTGTCGTTCCAGTAAAGTTCGTAGCTCACTATGTTCTCACCCGAATGGGTGGGTTTGGTCCACTGGAGCGTTACCGAACTTTCGCCAATATCTGATGTGCGTAAGTTACTCGGTTGGCTTGGCACACCTGCAAATTGGAATAATGATCATCAAAATATTTATTCACATTGTAATATTCACCAAGATTGTAGTACGCTTTTGTTGCAAGGGCATCTTTAGCAAGATTTCTGTCCTTTTTATACCGGGTGTCAACGAATCTATTAGACAAGTCATAACTTCTAGACTATTAGGTGTATCAAAACGAGATTTGGTACAGATAAATGGTATGTGAAATCCTATTTTCTTTGACTCATCTGCATTATGTGACATTAATAAAAGGTAGTGAATAAAAAACCATACACGACCTACCTGTTTCACCAGTGGTAACTGCCGCGGGGGCACTCGGAGGACCCCTTCCAATGTTATTGACCGCGATGACATACATTTCATATTCTGTGTAAGGGCTGAGATTCCTAACGGAGTAGTACATGGTGATGATGCCACTGATTTCACTGTAAGCCTGGTTGGCGTATTTCGGCTTGAACTGGATAACATAGTACTGCAACTCTTCTGGCCCATTGTACGACCACGTTAGTCGAACCGAAGTTGCGGTTATCTCGGAGATCTTGACGTTAGTTGGTGGCCCCGGTAAAGCTGAAAAATATCAGATGAAATTTATATTTTAGCAAAAATACTCACATTTTGAGTTGTGTCTGCTTTATCTCAAATGGAATCACACGTTAAAAAGTAAGACCTCGTTAGTCCTTAGCTCGCACAAGTTTCAACTTATTCACTTTCATCGATATAATCTGTACTCCTGTACAGTTCAAAATTATGCAGCAGAACTCTTTGGGAATTTAGTTGGCAAATATAAAGTTTTGGACAAGAACCACAAGTCAATTTATATTCAAATTGAAAGGAGGCTTTAGGAGGAACTGTTTTCTGAAGAAGAAATACTTTTTGCTTTCTACTTCTCTATTTTTATCTAGAAGTAACTTTTATATATAAAATGGAAATACTTGTAAAACAACAACGAATTACTTGTTTCCATTTAGTTTGTATTCCAAACATTTTTTATGGAATTGAATCTGATATAACTCATAGAAATGCTACACAATATATATGAAAGAGTTATACCATGAAATTTCACTTACATGGAACATCTCAGTATGTTTTTTTCAACCTATATTCAACTTTTAAAAATAGTACTGTGGAATACTAGAAAGATCAGTATCAAATACCCACAATTTATACAAATTAGGACAAAAATCATGCTGGAAACAGTAAAACCGCTTAATTTCATTCTATAGACATCAAATTTCATAACATACTTAAGCCAAATATCAACGGTAGTTGGAATATGATGATGAGAAGTAACATGATGATATCTGCTGAAAGTTCGACTATCCCAATCCAGAACGGAGGATGATAAACTCACATCACCAGAAAGTTTCGTACTATTCGGAACTTCAATGTAATTTAACATTATAACTCATTACAGAAAAAACTAAGACCAAAACTGTTTTGGTCAATCACTCATTGTTTATTGTTTATTTCTTTTGGGAAACTATTTTTAGGGTTTGGCAACAAGTATCAAAAATCAAAATAACAGGCGGTGTTGTCAAGTTGACAATAGAATAATAGATAACTGAGACTGACGTTTCCACAGAACACTCAATTACATCTTAGGGTCTAGAACGAGCTTATGAGTTCAGTGGGTGGCTTTATGTTGAGGAACTTTGATCCAAATTTGAGCAGTAAGGACTGATCAATGCTTTAGATTCATGCAGCATCAACTTTCATCTTTCCTATCACTAAAAAAGGTGAACTATTGGACAGCTCCAAGCCACAAAACAGGTTGGCGTTCTGTGACGAATACTTCAACTTTCATTTTGACTCTGGAAAGTCAACTATTATTAGTGAAAGTGTAAATTGATTTTTCATTATTGCTTCTTCTGAGGGCGAACAATTCAAAATCATATATCAATTTCACAGGCACTTAAATAGCTGTTTAATTGTTACACTGTCGTCTTGATCTCTCGCCCTCCAGCGCCCTCTGACAACCTCCTCGAGTGACTCCTAAGAGTAATAATAAGACATAGAGTTGCCATGCCTATACCAATACAATACATGTATTTTGAAATGGCTATCGTACTATCCTTTTCTGTACAACTTATGATCGAGGGGGGGTGGCGGGAAATGATAGGTTATGGAGAGTTTGTGAAGTAAGTTGGACCATAAAACAGTGGCGGTTGGTTTAGTTGATAATCGGAGGGATATTATATATTTATGAAATAAATCATTTCAGGTGAAAATGTATTCTGTTCAAATAGCTTCTACAAGNTAGTTTGCCAGAAATGGCTAATTAACGCTCATCATGAAAAGACCAGTATAAGTAATCAGAAATGATTATTGAATAACGAAATTAGTTAGCTCCCTAACTATATTATTAAAGAGGAACTGTTATGTTGTACTATATTGCAGTTACTTGAACTCTAAATACTATGACATGCGAATAGTGATGAAGAAACTACACGATAAATTCATTATGATATTCATTTTCTTAAATATAAAAAGTAACTCTTCGTAATGACTAGTAGATCTGAAAATCATGGTGTTTTGAACCAGTGCTTCGCAAAATGCTATCCTGAAGAGACATTTGACCAGTGCCTCAGTTCTGGCAAATCCAAAAGAAAAGGGCTAGTTTATACTTGGCATGGATGCATATCGACATGGAATATCTGTAGAACTGTCTGCGTCATTAGTAAAGAGCTCCTCGCTGCGGTTGGTCACTACCACTCCTTTGTATATGACCGTAAAATCTTTACCAGGTCAGACCACTAAGCACTTCGCTGGCGCTTCCAGAAGGACACGTAGCCAGGTGCGGCTCAAAAAGTTACCTTATAATTTTAAAATTCGCCAACGGAAAGCAATGAGTCACAGAAACGCAGATAGCCTCTCAGGAATAGTATGCTTGAAATCCGCTGTCCAACTTTGTCAATGCTAGGAGGAAGAGAATTCCCACTTGAAGTTGAATGATTTTATGGTATCCTGAAGATGATAAAAGTGCAGTAATTATACTTGTTTTTTTACATAAATGTGTAATGAGGCACTTGCTTTTACCGAAGGTTAGCCGTGAGAAAGACAGATCAAAAGGGAGAGAACTCCTGTTCCTTCAATCTGACAGATGACAGATCAAATTAAATGACAATTATGAAGAAGAGATGATAAAATCTCATAAAATAACGGGTGATTTTTTAAAAGGTATAGGATTTGATTTTCAAAACAACACAAAAATTTGAAAAAATGTGTGAAATATTTATTGTTATCGATAGAACCATCGTGTTTGAAGATGATTTTATGCAAATGTCGTCCGTGGCTCCGCTTTAGATGGCCCATGCGCAAGGTCCATTTTGGCACACTCTCTAACATATCGACCGGTATTTCACGTATAAATTCTTCAATATTGGCTTCCACAGCGTCAGTCGTTGCTGGTTTATCCCTGTAGACTTGAGCCTTAACATGACCCCACAATAAATAATCCAAAGGCGTTAAATCACACGATCTAGGCGGCCAATTGACGGGCCCCAATCGTGAGATGAACTGTTCACCGAAGGCAGCTCTTAATTGGGCCATTGTTTCGTGTGCCGTGTGGCATGTGGCACCGTCTTATTGAAACCACATGACAGGCATGTCCAATTCTTCCATTTTGGACAACAAAAAATCGTCAATCATCACACGGTAGCGCTCGCCATTCACAGTAACGTCCTGGCCATTGTCGTCTTTGCTCGATGATGCCACCGACCCATAATCCACACCAAACAGTTACTTTTTCGGGATGCATCGAATGCTTGTGGCTGGTCTTCAATCTTCAATTTTGCTTGTTAACGTATCCATTCAACCAGAAATGAGCCTCGTCGAAGAACACAATTTTTCAATAAAAATGTGGATCATCCTCCAACTTTGCCAGCGGCCATTCATCAAATGTTAGACGTTGTGGGAGGTCGTGTGGCTTCAATTCTTGCACCAGCTGTATCTTATAAGGTTCTACACCCAAATCATTTGGCAAAATTTTCCACGTAGTGGAGTAACAGAGGCCCAATTGCTGCGAACGGCGGCGAATCGGCATTTCACGGTCATCACGAACACTGGCGGATACAGCCGCAATATTTTCTTCGGTCCTCACTCTACGTATGCGTGTTGGTGGTTTAATGTCTGATAATGTAAACTGGGTTCGAAATTCAGTCACGAGCTTCTGAATAGCTCCGTCAGAAGGCCTACGAAACTGCCATAAATTGGAAGAAGTGCTTGATACACTTTCTTCACCGAGCATGATTTTGGATAATAAAATTCAATAATTTGCAAGCGTTCTTCATTCGTAAGTCGATTCATGGTTACATTATAGACCAAAGACACAAGACACGATTCACGGCGTGATCTGTCGAAAACAGTGTTGCCAAAACAATACCAGCAAAAAATCACCCATTACATTGTGAGGAGAGTTCAGATAGGTTGATATTATGAATAATTTGACGTTCAGAGGGATCGAACACTCATAATCATACAGGATCTGAGATATTTTTCAATTATTTTCGAGTGGAGATAATATTGGAGTTTTTCTTTTCAAGTTATAAAGTTAAATAGGACAATTGAAATACATTTGTCAACCAGTTCGTTTTATTTGGCACTTCTACAATAAATAACGATAAAAACCAAAAGAAACTTATCAAACGATTGAAAGACAAGGACGTTTTTTATTTGAAAGCCGACACAAAGGTAACAAAGCAGTAATTCTGGATAAATCGGACTACTACGAAAGGGTCAATACTCATTACTAACGGACCGTATGCGAAATTGTCCAGGAACCCGTTACCAAAAAGATGAGTGTCGAAGTAAAAGACGTCCTCAGGAAATGCGGCAACATACTTACCTACGCCTCAACTGAAACGGAAGTTACAAGTTTCCAACCCAACGGTGTCGAAACTATATTGCCTCGCAAAATCCACAAACCGGGAAAATCAATGCGCCCCATCGTTTCAGCTATTAGAGCTCCTACCTACCAATTAGCAAAGTGGCTCACTAAGGAATTTGAAACCTTGTCTATTGCGGAACTAGGTTTTAGTATAAAAAACTCTTTAGAGTTCATACAACATATAAAAAACATGGTTCTGCAAGAAGGTGAGATTTTGGTTTCTTTTGACGTTAGTTCCTTATTTCCTAGCGTACCAATTCCACAGATCTTACAATACCTCAGTGAATTACTAGAGAAAAATAATTTCAATAATAACAAAATCGATGAATTCGTTTCTCTAACTAATTTGTGTTTGAAACAAAATCGGTTCCAGGTAGAAGGTTGCTTTTATGAACAACAGGAAGGAACGACCATGGGAAATCCCTTGTCCCCCTACCTGGCAGACTTGTTCATGAGCAGATTCGAAATGGAAACCAAAGAAAAGTCGATGTATTTTCCTAGGATTTGGCTAAGGTATGTGGATGATATTTTCGCGATATTCGATACCAAAAAACCGAATATTGACGACTTTGTTTCCTTTTTAAATAATATATGTCCATCAATTAAATTCACGTATGAGTTAGAAAATAAGGGAAAACTACCATTTCCTGACGTTTTGGTAATGAGGAGCCAATATGGAGAGTTACAATACGATATATTTAGAAAAGAAACAAGTACGTACAGTTATATTCCTGATAGTTCACATCACTGTGGACAGCACAAACGTGCTGGGTTGAATTTTTTGGTGCATCGTCTTTTGACTTTCCCTCTAACACATGATAGGCTCACAAAAGAAAAACGTAGAATGCAGGAAATAGCAGCCGAGGGGTATTGTAGATGACATAATAAGGAAGAAGAAGTTTAGGTTAAGAACGAACGAAATCTCGACTTTCAGAAAGGACAAAAACCAAGATAAATACCTACATCTCAGTTCCATACCACCAATATACGAAGAACTTTGAAAAGATTTTCAAGGAACTATGAAGGTGGTTTTTAAAACAAGTCATACACTACAGAGCCTTTTGGGAAGTCCAAAAGACAAAGTCGAGAATTCGGAAAAGTCTGGAAAAACATACTGTATCTTGGAATGAATAGCGTTGAAAGTATATTATTCCATTTCCGAATTTCGAGAAAATTTTCTTATCGACCCTGAAAACAAATGGTACTTACATTGCACTTTGACCATGGCAGGTGCCTCGATAACCCCCAGGGCGCTGGCGGCGATACAAGTATAGTTGGCGGATTCCTGAATGTTGGTCAACTCCAAGGTGTTTTTGCCGATGGGGAGTTTATCTTCGGGGGTGAGTTCCTGTGTTAACCCTTTGCGCCACTTGACGAAAGGCATCGGGGATCCGACCGCAACGCACGTGAGATTTAAATCGTCTCCAAGTTTTACCTCGTTCACTGTTGGTGGTGGTATCGAGAACTGTGGCGGAACACGGCGAACTGAAATGAAAGTGGATTTTAGACAGTGTGCAGATATGAAGACATATTATTTATAAAACATTTTTGATAAACAGTGGTATATTGCTTCAATTTGTAAAATTATGATTTTTTTTTGGTCCCTTGGAAGCTGTCTGACTCGTCCAAAAACACTGCAGCCTCTTCGGCTTATTGCATTTTATTCTCCCATCTTTTCATGACACCGATTCCATCAGTCTCTTTTCCTGTAATAGTTTGTACAGGTTCCGTGTTGAATGTTCGTCATATTCTTCTGGACGTTATTTTGTACGTCCATATACAGAGCTTTTCATGATGAGCGTTAATTAGCCATTTCTGACAAACTATTTAACGGATCAATCTGAAAATTTCACAGTATGCATAAGTCGACACGACCTACACGCCTAAAATATTTCAAACGAAGCGGCGTTGTCGCTTCTACTATAAAGTGGCGGTTTCTTTGATTTTTCAAATAGAACACCCCGTATATAATATCATATTATGATTCATTATCAATCAATTATACTTTTTGAGTAGACATACAAATGAATTTATAAACTGATAAATAAATCACCTCTACTTTGAGCTTATATAAGCAGAATTGAATCACTTCTGATTGTAAGCAGACTGTATCGATTCATGAATTGATTTGTAAGTAGTTGTTATCAATTATATATACTCTTTCAGAGATGTTAGAAATCACTTTATGAAATGATGAATAAATCACATCTACTTTGAGCATATGTAAGCAGAATTAAATCACGTTTGATTGTAAGCAAACTATAATTGATTTATGAATTGATTTGTAAGAGTTGTTATCAATTATATATACTCTTTCAGCAGATGTTACAAATCATTTTATGAATTGATGAATAAATCACATCTACTCTGAGCATATGTAGGCAGAATTAAATCACGTCTGATTGTAAGCAGACTGTAGTATGTCAAACAATAAAGTATATTTGATTGATTGAGTGATTGTAATCAATTTACGAAATGATTTGTGAGCAGTTGTTATCAATTATATATTGTCTTTCAGCAGATGTTACAAATCATTTTAAGAATTGATAAATGAATCACCTCTACTTAGAGCATATATAAGCAGAATTAAATCACGTCTGATTGTAAGCAGACTGCAATCGATTTATGAATTGATTCGTTATTGAGTATAAATACTCTTTCAGCAGATGTTGCAAATTATTTTATGAATTGANAGCGACAACGCCGCTTCGTCTTAAATATTTTAGGCGTGTAGGTCATATTGACTTATGCATACAGTGGAATTTTCAGGTTGATCCGTTGAATAGTTTGCCAGAAATGGCTAATTAACGCTCATCATGAAAAGACCAGTATAAGTAATCAGAAATGATTATTGAATAACGAAATTAGTTAGCTCCCTAACTATATTATTAAAGAGGAACTGTTATGTTGTACTATATTGCAGTTACTTGAACTCTAAATACTATGACATGCGAATAGTGATGAAGAAACTACACGATAATATAAAAAACCACACCATAATAACAGTCACCTACATACATGTTTTTTTAATGCAATGTTCTGTAACCGTTAGCATTCGTGTCCATATTCGGTAAATAAATATCAGATATCATAAAGATCGACCGAGTATGACAATAAATTAATTCCAGCTCTCTGGATCGAATCATGTATTCCGGACGGCAGATATCAAAAGATTTATAACGTAAATCTGAGAAAGATAACCTTATGAATTATTCCGCCGGTGTACGGCCGGATCTCGGGAAAATATTGACAGAAGTAGATGCGAAAGTAATTGTTTATCGACTTGCGGTATCGAAGATGATGAATGAGAGCGATTCTTGACGCAAATGGCTGGAAAGTTGGACGAAAACTTCTCGGATCTTCGGTGTGAGTGTGATTACCTACATTCTTGGTTTCGACAAAAAAAAAGAGTGTGTGTTTGTGTGTACTTTTGTACGCACGTAAGAAATTATACTTAGTTTTTTGCAAATTATTCCTCGCTGTGATTTATTTGATTATTCCTTTGAACTGATACGCTTTTCGTCTACGAGTGATGTCTGAAAAATGCTGCTGGATCTCTATATAGCTGTGTATGGGGAATTGTACAGTCGAAGTAAACGATATTGTGCACATTTAAAGTTTTATGATTGGCTGAAGGGCCATAAAATTGAATTTTGATTTATGTTACGGCGACGAATAGAAATCGGGAATGCGGGGATGGTTATTGCCGTCGTGTTCAGTTCAGGAACTGATCGCGATTTGAGTGTTGAGTGAAGTTTCGAATTACTTAATCGGCGTTTTTTTGCAATACTTCATCGTCGATTAAAGAACAATGAAAAGTTTTTGAGGAGAGAACTACAAAACTGAAGATACAGAAGTTGGCGTTTCAGCTACTTTGAGGTAAATCCAAATAATTCCATCAGAGATTTATCTAGAGAAATAGCTGTTAAATCGTTTGTTATTAAACGAATTCTGGAGAAACATAAGATTTCTCCTTATAAGTTAAGACCAGTGCAAACACTGGTTTATAAATGAAGGCACAAAAGATCCAAAGTTCTATAGAAATATTATATGGAGCAATGAGGCTAATTTTTCAAATTGTGAGATGTATAATAGAAATAATTTTCATTACTGGAGTGGACATACTCCATTTCCAGTCCATCCCCACAATCTGCAAAGACGATTTAGTATTAATGTTTGGTGTGTTCAATTTAGAGGCAAAATTATCGATCCATTTTTCTACAATGGTTCTTTAAACGGACCCCGTTACATTAATTTATTAACAAGAGTGTTGAAAGAGTTTTTTGATGATCTTGATCAGATGATCTATTTTCAGCAGGATGGAACACCAGCACACAATTTCAGTGGCGTAAAAAGAATGTTGCGAGACTTTTTCGGAAACAGATGGATTCCTACAAATAGTCCTGTTGAGTGGCCTCCTCGTTCACCAGACATGACACCTCTAGATTTTTTTTGTGGATTTCTGAAAAATGAGGTGTACAAAATTGAACATGATAATGAAGATGAATGAATCTATAATTGATAGAATTTAAGGCTGAATTGTGTTGAAAGCAACACGTAGGATCAAGAGAAGGGCCCAAATATGTGTTCGACAAGAAGGCGGTGTTTTTAAATATTTACTCGATATTTTATAGCTCTTTATTCGTCAAAACAAAGACATTATTAATTTGTACTAGTGAAAGAAATAAATATTTCCACATTTTCACCTTTGGGAAGAAATGTGATATGAGCTTTGTTGTTAGGAATGTTATTACGAATCGAAATGCATGATAAAATTTTGGGTAAAAAAATATCATTTTATGAAATATTTTGAAAACGTGACTGTCAATTTTCTGTTTGTTTTCGGCATCGAGAAGGCCATGAAAAACGCTACTTGTTTGCTCATTTAACCGAAATCATAGCAAAATTGTTATTTTCGGTTAATTTTTTTGATTTTTTTCAGGGTTATCAAGTCAATTCATATTAAATTAGACAATGGAAGTTCGAACTGATGAAATATAGATCAAGCAATAATGTCGATAATTCTGTTAATACATATCTCGAGATTGGGAGTTTCAAATAAACAAACATACATACAAAATAAATACCTACAGGTGAAGCTAATACAAAGCGTGAATTAAAAATGGAATATGTCAAAATAATAATTTTGTAGAAAATATGAAGTGATTTATTACCATCAAGTAAGGTAGAAAGTATCACTCTAGGACAACACCATATTCGTGAAAGCATATTGATTTAATATATCATTTTGGGACTCGTTTCATCTCTGTCGGTATATATTTCGAAGAATTCATTTAAATTAAGTTCAGTGGGGATACATAAACATAAACTGATTATTTCATGAACAAAGTTGATATACAGAAGGAACCTCCCGTGGTGAGAAAGTTAACGCTGTAGAGATAATGTGATATATAGTCGCCGTGATACTACATAAATCCATTAAAATAACAACTGAAGGGACATTCTGCAATGTTTGCCCATCCATTGTTATTATCAGCATTAGCTTGATTCGATAAATCCATATACAGCGTACAGTGGAAACAATGTCATAACAGAACATACATCTAAATGTGGCTGTGGCAGAAACAGATCATTATGTAGTCCATCAGTGCATCGATCGTCGATGTACAGGTGTGCAGAATTATACCGTAACGAATTCATAGATTACATCAATCTCATCTTTTGCTGATTGAATTAACTTTCATTATAAACTGAAAAACCTAGATGTCTCAAAGGGAGCGGGTCCTGACGGAATTTCGCCAGTATTATTAAGGATTTGATGTCACAGTTTTTGACTTCCCTTTGAAATACTCTTTCAAAGACCATTTGATACAGAGATGTTTCCAGGTGTTTGGAAAAAAATCTTTCCTTTCTCCAGTATTCAAAAGTGGAAACAGAAATGATATTCAGAATTACAGGGGTATCTCGAAAATTTCTTGTATTCCCAAAGTATTTGAATCTTTAATTACGGATGAAATATTTAATAATTTCAAATACGTCATAATAGACAAACAACATCGAAAAGCATATCAAAATGTTGATAAAGCGTGCATACTCTAACATGAAGTTGATTTACGGCAACCGACATCTTTTTCCAATGAACATAAAAAATACTCTGTGAAACACTAGTTTTGTCATTATTTAATTACGCGGATGCTCTGTATGGACCTAATTTAACTGTTCAATTTAAAAAAAAATACAGAAAGTTCAGAATTCATGTCTACGTCTGATTTTTTGAGTACGAAGACGGCAAAGAATTTCGCATAAACTAGAGGAATTTAGATGGCTCAATATGGAGAACAGGAGGAAGCTACATTTTGCTAATATATGTCATAGCGTTATTGTCAAAAGCCAGGGTATCTTTATCGCACTGGTATACACAACATAAATATTAGAAGTAGAGGATTATTGAGTGTTCCTTCTTTTGTGGCTGAAATTTTCAGACGCTCGTTTAGTTATCAAGTATATAGCCTCTACAACTCAAT